TCAGATTGGCTCGATATTCTTTTTCTTCAGTTTGTTCTAGCAGCCTAGTTGATGATACTCCCAAGACTCCCAACCTGGAGGTTCTTGCCTATCCAGCTACTATGACCAGGTACTATAACCTTGATATTTATTTCCTCAAGCTAGCCTTTACAGTAGGGCTGTCAAAAATTCAGCTATCTCTCTACTCAGGTCTTCTCAAATGAACTTCTTGTTACCTAATTTTAATGGATTTACATAGCCACAAGAACTTATCTAGTGTTTGTACTGCCTGATTTGTCAGTTTGCATTTCTTTGTATAATGCCATACTTATACAGATGCCCTATGACCTGCCAGTCATGCTGGTGTAACTGCTATTACAAGTATCCTAACCTAATTATTAGTAATAGTTGCTATAATATGAATATTACATAAGTGATTATCCAAATCTTCACTATTAATAGGATTTGAACACCCAATCTACCACTTAGAGGTTGACAATCTGACTATTTCACTAGATCGCCACATCTTATTATCTTTAATTTTATTTAAATTGATATATATATAAACTTATAATCAGTATTTGAAATTTGTGTTCTCAGAGTTCTTATAAAAACACTATTATAAAATTGTGCACAGTATAAATTTTTTATTGTTCACTATTAAAATTTTTTTGAGAACAGTAAAATAATAATAATGTTCTCATAAGTATAATAAGAAATCATATAATGTTCACTAAACAAAAAGCTGTTGTTTATAACAAATTCAAAGATTATAATACTGTATAGTTTGTAAATTTAAAGATATTTACATACATATATATAAGTAGATTATTTCAGAGCAGGCTCTAAAATTTGAATATACCACTGCTGCAATATATAATATTTGCAATCATTATTAACAAAATAACTATATAAATTATAATTCTGAAGAGTATTTTGTTAGCATAAATACTATTTATCATATGTCTTAAACTTTTACCTTAAATTTTAAAACAAAAGTTAGAGTTATTAGATGTTAAGCAGTAGCATATCTGAACTTCAGGAAGCTTGCCCTTGGGTAATCTTTGTAAGTACATAATCAAGATAAAATTTGTAAAAAATTTAAAAAACATGTCTGCGATAGAAGCTTTAAATAGAATACATTAAATTTATAAGCGAATGCATAATTTTTTTAGCAGTAATTAGTTCAGAACAAAGCAAAGGACTTTGAATTTTTCTGTAAAGAGTGAGATACAAGATTTGTTTGTCTGGCCATATTACATGAAGATTATTTAATCAAATAGTAACACATGAGCTAATTAATTATGTATTCACTCTAAACATACCTAATATATATGTGCAAAAAGATTAACATATTAAAAAATTAGAAGCTGTGTTACTTAAAGTCTTTAAAAAACAAGTATATTATAATAAGAAATGTAGATCTTAATAAGGTTCTTTTTAAGTCATATTTAACTATCGCTATTACTCCCAACATGATTATTAATTAGTATAAGTTATTAAAAACAGGTTATTGTTTAATATATAGCATATGAATATTTCAGAAATATATACTATTAATAATAAAACACTTACCAAATATATTTTAATTTTTAATATAGTGTTAATTTGCTTTAGAGCCACTAGCTTATAACGTAAAGTAATTAAATTTATAATCATATGAAAAAGTCTGTCTTCATAACTTTTGAGTTTATACAAAAAAAAGAATAGAGTTTATTAATATAAATAGTGTCAAATAAAATAAACAAAAAAAGAAAAATTAATTAGAACTTTCTTTTTTCAAAGTTCTTAAACTTGATTATTGATATTCTTTAATTCCTCCTTAAAACTATTAATTAAACAAGTAAAATAAGATATAATTAAATAAAAGGTTTGAAAATATTACGTATAAAAGAAACATATAAATTAAATTAATAAAAATTTTAAAATTTAATTTTTTTCTTTATTTATCTTTAACATATTTAAAATAAATAACAATAAAATTTTCTGTATCTTTATTTTTTTTTTGTTTATTTCAAAATGTCTAAAAATAATTATAAACATAAACAAAGCAAAATTACTTCAGTTATTTCCATCGCACAAACTTCTAAAAAATCAAACCTTTTATATGATAAAAATGATTTATTTAGTGAAGATTTTGATTTTAATAATTTTAAAAACAGTACTGACGAAGGTTCTAATAATGAACAAGATATATCTGAATTAAAAAAAACCTAAATATAATCAGTTTGATAAGAAAAATTTAAAATGGAATCCAAATTGGAAAAAAACCTACTTATGGGTTGATTTAGTATTATGACAAGATAGCAAATATATGATTTGTACATGGTGTACTAATGCAAAATGTAATAATATTTTTGTATCAGGTACTCAATATTTTAAAGAGCAGTATCTTCAATGACATATAGAGTGAGCTGATCATAAAAAGGTTGTAAGTGCACATAGTAAAACTCAAGTTAATATTATATCTAGCATGCATCAGCATGCTGAGTTTGACCATTTACAAACAATAAAAAAAATGATGAATATTTACTTTCTTGTAAAACATAATATTGCTATACTTAATTTTGAAGATTTCTGTCATCTTATTGATTTACAAATTCAAAGTTCTGAACAAAATATTGTTCCAGGTGGTACAAATCTTTTAAGTTTACCTGAACCAATAGCTGCAACACAATCTATATGTAGCGAATATGGATCATATACTAATAATCAAGCTAGAAAACAATTTATTAAAGCAATTGCATATATTATTGAAGAAGCTATATTTAATGAATTATGAACATCTAAAGCATGAAGTCTTATGATCAATGAAAGTAATACAATTTCTAATGAAAAACATCTAGCTATTGTTTCACAACATATATTATATAATTTGCCAGTTTTTCGTTACTTAGGTATTATTAAACTTCAAAGTGCATCATCAAATACAATTTTTAAAGATTTAAACTAGTTTATTCTTGCTAAATATTTACCACTTGAATCACTTTATTATTTTGAAAGTGATGGTGCAAGTGTCAATTTAGGTAATATAATTATATTTATTTGAATTTGTATTACTTTATTAACAGTTATTTATCAATAGCTTATTTAGCCATTATACCAGATAAGCTAATCTAAACTTTATATAATTTGGGTTAAATAAGCTTTCGGTAAAATAACTATTAATAAAGTGAATAGCACTAATCTATTTTAATTATTTATTTATATTAATTAATAAAAAATATATTATTTTAGGTCATGTAAATAGAATAGCAACACAGTTAAAAACTCATCTTCCATTTCTCACTGAGCATCATTGTATAAGCCATCATTTAGCACTTGCTTCTAAAAATGCTGCTGAGCAAACACCTTATTTTGAAGTTTATAATAAAACTGTTCGACAATTATATAGTTATTTTAGTCAATCATATTCATGTTTACAAACTTTGCAAATGATTTAACATACTTTAGATGAACCTAATTTAGATATTTTGTAAGTTATTAAAACTCGATGGCTTTCATTAAATAATATTATAAACAATCTTTACTAAATTATTAATTCAGTAATTAGTGCATTATTAGAAGATATATCCAAAGGTCAAAAAACTGCACAATGACTTTATAATTGTATTGATCAAGACTTTTTAATTGCACTTATTTTTTAGCTAATATTCTTTTACAGCTTTGTCATCTTTCTTTAATTTTTCAAGCTGATTATGTTTCAGTTTCAAAAGTTACAATACAAGTTAATGCAATTATCGAATCTATTACAATTGATTTTATTAGTGAAGCAGATGTGCAACCAACATTTGGAACTATATTATTATAATTTATGAATCAACAAAATATTTTACCTGAAGATCTTCTTTTATTTGTATAAGAATTTGCTATAAATACAATAAAAAATATTAAACTTCACTTTCCAGATTGTGTACTCATAAATTTTTTTAAAATTTTTGATCCAAAACAATTACCTACTGATCATTATTTAATTTCAATCTATGAAAATAGTAAAATAATTAAGATTAGAAATTTTTACGAAACTTCTAAAAAAACTACTGGTAACAAAAATTTTTTATTAAATAAAATTTACAACTCTAAATACAGTAAATATTTACTTATTATTTTATTATATATAAAATTAGAGCAAAAGTTTCAGAAAATTATTGATGCAGATAACCTTGCACAAGAATAGCAAATTATTCGATCACTTCTTTTTAATTACTGCAACTAGGGTTCTGCAAATGCTTATGCCAGGCAAATTGGCACTATGCCAGGCATTAGTGCCTCATGCCATGCCTATACCTATAGGCTCAAAGTGCCAGAAATTATTATAGACATAGGCACAAATGCCAGGCATTTTTATAATCATAGGTACAAAAATGCCAGGTACTTTATAGGCATAAGCACAATATGCTAGGCAAAAAGATGCCAAAAAGTGCCAGGCACAAGTGCCAAATAGTACCAA